GGAAGCTTGTCTCTCCCTGCAATAGCCTTCAACCACAAAATGTGACCAATCTCAAAGACCCTTGCTATGCTGTCCTCCTTTTTCAAGTCTATCCTCCATTTTTTTTGTCTTAATTTGAAACGTACAAAGAGCCTTAGCTCTTGTCCTACAGTAAAACGTGAAATCTTCCAAGAGGGGAAGATCATGCATACAGGAGGAAATAGGAAAGCTGGTACACAGAACTGCTACTGCAAATCATGGATCTGCTAGTGTAAGAAGGGCTTTTTCTTTGCATAGTGGAGTTCAAGTCAATACATCTGAGCAGATGCCTTACCTTTGCCTTCTCGCTGGGCTCCTTGACAATGCCATTGGTAGAATTGTTGAGCTCCCTGGACACAACGCAGAGGAATTCTGCCTGGTCTTCGTTTCCGTAGTTATAGGAAGATCCAATGCTGATTAGCTGTGCAAGAGGAGACAGCCAAGGTAACTATCAAAAAGTCTTGACTTTTGCTTTATTCCTACACTTGCTTTGTGAGGTACCACTGCCCAGTGAGACCTGTTCTGGACCTGAAGTGTCTCCCCGCTTAGCTGCCTGTGTACAGGCTTTCCTGTGCATAAGGCAGGGACACAGCCGAGCTCCAGAGCCCTCTAGTGGCACCCGGAGCCCCAGGAAGAAATTCCATCCTGAAACTGTAGCGCTGAACACAACAGAACATTTTCCAATTACTGAGGGCAGAAAAAGGAAAAACACGTCAGATTTTGCAATATATAATATGCAGCTAATTCATCTATGGGGCAGGCAACGCAGACTTCCTGGTCCAGGCTACACCGAACTCGGCTCTCAACTTGCCTTTTGACTTTGCTGTGTAAAAACTGGAAAGGCAATTCTTTACCACAGACAGATGTTAGATTAACTAGGGACATGTGGCAAACTGGCACCATTCTTTATGTAGATGCTGTCAAGATGGAGTTTGATATCTGTACAAATGGGATTATATTCTATTACTGTTGTGATGAGGGGTCTGGACTCGATCCAAGAAATTCCATCTGTCTCATTTATCATTATTATATTAAAAGGACATCCTGGAGTGCAGAGCTAATTTGTCATTTACAACTCAATTCTGCTTTCCAGATAATAAATCTAAGTAATCTGAAGAAAACAATGTGAATCTTATCAACTGTGTATATTTAGGAAACTTTAATATGTAGCATACACCCTAACTTCCATGTCCTAATGGATTTTAGAAGAGAGCACTCCATATTTATATATGAGACAGGTGCAGTCAACAGCCTTCCTAGGCAGATGACTACATGGTTGCAGTGCAGCTGCAGGAAGACTTGGGGGGGCTGTCCTACTGACTGACCTCCAGTACTGTTTTAAACAGGTTTTGATGTTTGTGCTGAGGGCAACAGACACAGGATTAAAAAAAAAAAATTCTGCTTTTGCTTCCCTGCTCCCTGTCTTGACTTAAGCTCTTGGATATTTCAATACCACACACCATTATTTACTCAGCAAAAGATACTCTGTGTTTGTCAAAGATAGCCATTTTCCAGACTACTGAACTGTAGGTGGAAAGGAGAATGGATTTCTGTTTAAAATAGCAAATTTCTATTCCATCCTTAATTTAAGCAGGACCAAATGGTACAAGGCAGAGAACCTGAAAGGCCGCATGCTCCTCTGAGAACCCAAGCCTGACAGACAATAAGGCTACAACAGCTTTTACCACTTCTGGCTTTCCTGCAGTTTTCTCAACCAGTGTTTTTGATGTTATGAAGCGACTGGATCCAAAGAGCGCATGAAGGGAACATCTGCTCTGTTCAACCACTGGCATCCAGGCTAAGGTTTAGCAACAGGCTCTCTTTGTCCCCAATATGCAGATCTGTTACCATCTTTCCTAACATATCTCAGCATGCCATGTGGTGTGATTTGGGGGAGGGTGGAAGCCACACTGGGTTGCACATCTGGGAAAAGACCTTGGCAATAGGCTGCAGCCTCCCAGTAGGGCCCGTTTCAGCACGGGATGTATCCCGTGCTGCACCACTGCCATGTTCCTGCGCTGTGACCCAGTCCGGACCATCTGGCAGCTGGAGAGAGGCTGTACTGCTGTGTGAGGTCTAGCCCTGACCAGAGCACCGTATCTGTCTGTCCTCTTTAGGATTGCTGCCCCTGGGGCCGTTTGAGCTGAATGCAAGTCCCAGAGGAGGGCAAGAACAGCTCCTGATGGTGGGAACGTGCTGGAGTGGGATGTGCAGGAAATTTTGCTGGTGCTTGCAGTGCACAGGAAAGAGGAGGCTGGCAGGGATCTTGGTGGTTTGTGCAAAGGCTGTGGATGGCAGAGGGAGGGAGGGAGGGAGGAAACAGGAAGGGAACACACTAGCATTTGCTTGTAACCAGTATCTTGACCCTATCATTATAGATTTGAAAAGCAAGACTAGGAAAGATGGAAGGGTGCAGACTCCTGTGTAGGGCACTGCATAGAACCTTTTGGTTTTGGGGATGTGTGAAAGGCAACATATGTTAAGTACATTTTTGGACAGCAAAACCTGGGTGTTGGAGAACAGCATTTCCATAAAGCAGCTAGTGGCTCTTAGTCACAAGATTTCACTATCAGCTCACAGGTGCATGAGTTTTTGACTGCCTCTCCAATACGCAATAGGAGTTTTCAGGCATTACAGAACAGATATATATGAACAAGTGATGCAAAGCACTGTTGCTAATCCAATGCCTCACTTCGTGTCAGCACATTTCCCACAACATCCACTTGTACTGAAGCTGGACTAATTGGGAAGACAGCAGAGCTGTAATCCACAGAGCCTATTCTGCAGTTTCTTAATATAGCATTAACATGCAGGCCAGCTGGTTTCTGGTTCTCCATCCTCCTAAATAAGAGGACTGCATTCAATTCCAGAAACCAAATCTGGAACTAATGCCATATGCAACTTCAGTGACACGTAGCCCTGAAACTGGCTGCGTTATGAAAGCATCTGCAGGAAGTGTATTTCTCCTGTCACTCAGCACCTCTTTAGCAAACGCAGGACTCATGGCTTTGAGCTTCCAGAAGAATCGTGCTGTGTTTTTTTCATGGCTCTGTTAATTTTCCTGGATAAAACTCCTGTACTGGGGCTTGATATATATGATGAAATGCACAAGAAGGGAAGAATTGTTCTGTGATTTGATAAGGATACAAGAAGTCCTGAGAGAAAATTACATCCTCTTGGCAGATTGAGCGAATTCTGCCTTTCCTTGTCAGTTATTCTACGTAAGTGGACTGCTGCTCAGTTCAGACTGCTGCTTCAGAAGAGCAGTGTGAAGTGCAATTAAATAGCAAACTCTGCTTATTCCATATGCAGCTTTCAAAGGGATTCTGCCGTTCTTTGGTAATGGTACCTGTTCGAATTTCCACCCGTCAGACATAGTGGACACCATCTGTGTGAGCTCCTCCTCTTGGCACTGCAGGACTCTGTACACATGCTTCACAGGTCCCTAAAGCATGGAGAATAAAAATAAGCAAGAGTTTAGTAAGTGTTATACTAGCATCAAGCTAGGAAATTAATAAGCCTCTCCTGCTCTGTCATCCTGTTATTTGAGGAAGTCTGAGCCCCACAGGCTTTCTAGGGTGTCATCCTCTTGACCATCCAAATGATTCTAAAACAGGTACATACAGTTGGCATGCTTCTCTTAAAAGCCTTCTATGCATCTAAAGGCCAGTGAAAGCAAAACTTCTTTGGCTCTTTGGCTTTCAAAGCCATTTACTGCTTTTTGAAAGTGTTTCTCTTCTGAAATTGAATCTAGAGGGTATGCTAATATCAGCTGAGCAGCAATGGAAAAAAAATTGCCACAGAGAGACAGATATAAAGGGAAGAAAATGGTTTAGAGAAGGAAGAGTTTGAACTATTCTTTACTTACCAAAGCAGTTTGTTTTGCTTTATAACTACCCATCTTTGCTCCTGGGCCCTCTTGTTTAACTGTTCATTGTCTTTCCCTGCAGTGCTAACAAGATGACTCAGTGGTCTGTGTTTATAAAACCATAATGGATACTCTTTCCTAGCTGTGCCTTGGATCTACCTAAAAGCATTGATTGCACCTGTTAAAGATGACTAAACTAAAACACTGCTACTAGAAGTGTCTACAGCTACATGTCCTTTTACTACACTACAGAAAATAACTGACTTCATAACACAAAAGTTCCTGAGCATTACTTGAGAGGTTCTGTTCTCATTATCCCGTATCCGCTCCTTCACCAGCCGCACAAGAGATGCAATATTGTAAAACTCTGCTTCTTCCAGTACCCCTAAAAAAGGAACCAAAAGCAGAGAGAAATTCTGTTACTTTGTACAGGGCAGAATGAAGATGAATCTGCTACAAGGATGCAACACCTGCTGCTGACTCCAAATCTAGCCCAGATATGAGAAAATCCCCAAATGCTGAATAGAGTGTGCCACCGATCTCATGTTCCCAGGCTGTCACCTCCTTTTGTCACTTAGAGGACCTTTAAGAAAGATTATTCCCCTTTCCCTGGGATTATCAGAAACCTCGTGGTACAATCTCTATTTTGTTTGCACAGCCCCATTAGGGGAAAGTCACCAAAGCTGTCTGCTTGTAGACAACTGCTGTCTGTGGAGGGAGATGTGCTAACAGATTTTTTGCTCTGCTAACAGAAGACTTTGAGCTGAGCAGAACAATGATGGGTTGTGTTGTAAGCTGCAGGCCTCTGCTTTCAGGAAGATACATAATCTAATGATTTAATCCCTGTTAATGAGCATCCTTCTGAGAAACTAACAGTACTAACAGCACTAACAGCACTACTGGGAAATGTGTCTTGCTCACACCCGTACACATTGCCACGTCAAGAACCCGATGCACTCAGGCAAGTTTCTGATGATGGCTCTCAGATACCGCTATCAAATAGCATTTGCAGTTCTTCCCCTGTATCTTTCTCTTACCTTCTTCTGCAAGCTCCTTGTTTATGATGAGCTTCCCATGTCGGAGGTAGTTCAGTATTGGACCAAAATACGTGGGGTCTCTATCGATGAGATATGCCCCTGTCTCATCCTGTTGGGTGTGTACAGGAATGAAGTAGGGATGGTTAAGTGGTACCAGGAAAAAAAAATAATTTCAGTTGCAAACAATAAATTGAACAGTTTCTCTCTGAGAACCTGGATTCATTTGCCTGTAAAAGGTGTACTAATGACTCCACATTTAAACCAACTTTTTTTTTTTTTTAATATCTGAACTCAGCTACAAATGTTGCAGCTCAGTAATGCTGGCAGATGCTTGAAATTAAGCACTTCTATGAACAGAGTTTATATACCTGGAAAGAAAAGCAGGGTTTAGCAGTTTTTCTTCACTGCAATAATAAAACCCAAAAGCTGGCAGTTGTGTTCTGTCTAAATTTGTTTTCCAGACCAGTTTTAACCAGGAGACTCTGAAGGAAAACTGGATCTCCAGTTCTAGCTAACAGCATATAATGGTTTAAGTAGCTCTTTACTTCTCCTCTTATTTCTGCTACTGAAAATGCACATTGCAATGCACCAGCCGTGTCTCTAGCAATGCCATAACTATTGTCATCAAATAAGCAATGATTCACAAACAAAAACATCTCTTGAGCCAGCTATGAAGCATTGACAAAGCCTGCCCAGAAGTCTTTCATATCACTCCCTTAAATCACTTTAAAGCAACGTTTGTCCTGCCAATCAATCTGCTCTAAAGCAATAAAAACTGTGGAAAAAAACCCCACTCTGAAATGTCATCTCCTCTATTCACTGATGCTGGTGACTGCTATTCTGATCACAACCAGCACTTATCTTTTGATTAAATTCTGAACAGAGTGGCAAGAGACCTGAATAATTCTGAGTCTGACCTACCCACAAAATATTTACAAAACCTTGTGCAGCAGATCCTACAGCAAACCTGCAATTACAAGAATAACCGTTTGCAAAATCCTTACAATAAACTGCCATGACTTCAAAACTATCCACCCATGTAAGGAACAATATAAGATATATTAAAAAAACCCAGCCAGCCAACCAAACCCAAAGCCATGCTCAGGGCGAGAAATCATTAAAATTCCTGTTTCTCAGAAAGCTTCCTTCTACTTCTGTCTCTGCTGTAAGTAACCACCGTGGGAAGGTGCTGGTGAAGCCCCAAGAGGAGCCGTGTCACCACGGGAGGTGGAGGGCATCGGCGCCTGCAGCACCGGGGTGTTACAGGCACGAGGGCCACCTCCAAGCCCCATTCCCGGGGATGCGGCCAAAGCTGCGGCCATGTAATGGGACACGAGGGACAAGGAGCCGGTGTGTGTCAGAGCAACGTGCATCCCTGGGGACCGTGGGAGTGGGGCTGCTGTGGAGATCGGCCCATCCACGCCGCGGGGT